AGGCAGAGCCTGACCGGAGTCACTGTCCTCCTCTGTAAACCTGACCACTTGGTTGCTGTCATCCTACAGGCCTTAGCCCTCCACTCCATAGGGGACAGCTGCCTAGGAGAGGGATAGAAGTCTTAACAGGTCCTGTTGCTAGGGCTTGCCTAGTTTGAGGTGAAGCATGGGGGAGGGGCTGGAGGGTGGGGCCCCAGCTTCTCATTTCCTGGCCCAGGAGCCCACTGAAACTGAGCAGAAGCAAGGTGCATGCTAACAAAGGTGAGGTCTAGGCCCCGTGTCTGTTAGTTCCCAAGGGTGAAATTACAAAAATACTGCTCAGCCTGCTTTCCTGTCCAACACAGGCCCACCTGCCCGGGGGTGGCACCACCCACAGTGGGCTGGGCCCTCCCACATCACTCAACAATCAAGATGCCCCATGGACATGGCCACAGGTCAGTCCAATGGAGGCAATTCCCCAACTGAAGCTCCCTCAACCCAGGTGTGCCAAGTTGACACTAAAGCTATCCAGCACAGCTACCAACCACATGGTATAGAAGGACAGGCATGTGTTGTTAAGTTCTAAAGACCCAGAGTCTAAAGTCTTTGGTTTCCTCAGAGCCAGCTCCTCTCAGGTTGTGATGAGCACTTTCACTGGGTCTCTGTGTTGTCACCACACCATCTCTGCTCAGTGCATGTCTGTCCAAATTTCCCTTTTATAAGGATGCGGCAGACTGGTTTAGGCCCCTACTGGACAGTGACCTCATCTTTATCAGTTACCCCTCCAGTGCCTGGTCCTATGTGGAGATCAATCAGGGCCTCACTGTTTCTGTTGGGTGGTGCACATCAGGCCACAACATCAGCAGCAGCTAACTTCTCAGGCATCCCCGTTACTTCCTGACCGGCTAGCACTCCTGCCAGCCAGCCTGCTGCTCTGCCAGGGCAGATTTACGTGGGTTTTGTCCACCTCTGTTTGCAAAGCACCTTATAAATGCCTAGTGCATAGTTGGCATTCAGCATTTGTCAAAGCTGGATGGATGGAAGGAAAGAACGAAGGACTTAGGGGAAAGTCCTCCATTCCACCTTCCGTTTGAAAGCAAAACTTCATCTCTGGTGAAGCCCAGAAGGTTGTGTAACTTTCCCAGGTCCAAAAGATAAAGGGAAAGGGCTTCCAGAGTTCCCCTTTCACTCCTGTGTCTCATCTGTGCAGAAGACAAGGGGCACCACTGATAAACAAGGACTGTCATGTTTGAAGGCCCAAACAAATGCAATGGCAGCTGTCTTTCCAGACGTGGGGACCATAATAGCACATCAAATAGTTGCTAACCCAGCACTCCATCAACATATTAATTAGCTTTGTGTCACTATAATGAAATACCAGGCCCAGACTACCTTTATAAAGTAAGGACGTTTATTTAGCTCACAGTTCTGGAGGCTCAGAGTCCAAGCAGCATGGTACAGGCAATGGTGGGGGCAGATGCAAGAACAAATGATCCCATCTCAACCCAACAGCAGAGAGAATTGAACGGGGGCCCAGGTTCCTTCATTTATAACTGTTCCCTCAGAACAACCATAAGAATTACCATAGTCTTTTTCAAAGCAGACCCAAAGGACCCACCCCACCAGGATGGCCCTGAAAGGTTCTGACACCCCCCGTCACTACTATCCTGGGGGTTAAGCTTCCAACTGCTGTACCTCCCAACCCCAATAAAAAGAATGACAGAAGCAGCATGCTGTCTTTCAGAAGAATAAGCTTTCCAGCTCTCTGAAAGACACAAGTTCAAAAGCTATCTGCCTCAAGTTAAGTCCACACAGACATGTCCCAGCATGCTCAGGGTGACACACCACTCCACTACGTGGATGAAGTCCCATGGGTAGGCCCTGGAGCTGAGGAGCTAGTGAGAGAGGCTAAATGCAGAAAGAACCATGTGCTTGCCCAAGGGATCTACCCCAAGGTGGTTTAGGAAGTTGTACCCTGGTGACATTCGGAGGCTCCAGTGGTCTGGAAATATGAAGGGCATCGGCTCCAGCCAGGTGTGGTGGCCCATGCCTGTAAATCCCAGCACTAAAAAGGCTGATGCAGGAGGATTGCTGTGAATCTGAGGCCAGCTTGGGCCATGTAACAATTGCCAGGTCAGTCTAGCTCCAGTGTGAGACCCTGTCTCAAACACACATACACACACACACACACACACACACACACACACACACGCACACACAAAACCAGGCAAACAAAGATGACGTTACCTCCAGCATGAAGCATTAATTGGGCCTGGCTGAGTCGTCTTTTAGTCCCCGTTACTTGGGAGGCTAGGCAGATGGACTACAAGTTTAAGGCTAACATAGCCTCAGAGTGAGTTCAAGGCCAATCTGGCCAACTTAGTAAGATTTTGATTTTACTAAATAAAGAGGACTGGGTATAGCCCAGTGACAAAGTGTCTGATTAACATGCACAAGGGCCCAGGCAGAACCTCCAGTACCAATGGAAAGAGTGAAGAATGAGTTGTTGCAGCCTGAACACTGTACCACTAGGACACTGGGTTCCCAATCAGAGATCTGGAAGATCATGTGGTTTCATATAGCACGTGATCAGAACTGCCCTTTTTGAACTAGGCAGTGGGCATGCCTTTAGTGCAGTATCATTCAGGGAAAAGATTGATAGGCTTGAGCCTGGGTACACTGCAAAACCAGTGGACAGCAGTCTCAAAAGGCCAGTCACACCTACCTTCCACCTATATCATGACCCCAGAAAGGATTCCTTATGCCAACTTTGATAAACGTTTAGAAGACGGTCATGTGCTCCATAATGTTTTGGTCACAAATGGACTGCATATATGATGGTGGTCCCCTAAGGTCTTAGTGCAGGTAAAGACTCTGACTGCCTAGTAATGTCACAATGCCTTAATGATTCATCACTCATGTGTTTGTGGTGGTGCAGGTGTAAACAACGTGTTTACACAGATACTACTGTGTTACAGCCACCCACAGTGCAGTAACTGTACAGGTTTGTAGCCTAGGAGTGACAGCCTACACTGTATAGCCCAGGTAGGTAAGAGGTCAAACCATCTTAGTCTGTTTAAACACCCTCTAGGGTGTTTGCATGATGTAATGGTCTAATAAGGTAGTTCTCAAAATGTATCTCCATCATGAGGCAACACATGGCTGAATTATTATTCCCATTACATAAAAAGGAAATGGAGGGGCTAGACACTTGCTGCTCTTACAGAGGACCTGAGTTTGGTTCCCAGCAACCATGCCCCAGGGCTCACAACCACCTGCACCTCCACTTCCCTCCATGGGATTTGACACCTGCTTTTGGCATCCTTGGGCACCTGCACTCACGTGCACATACCCCCCCACCACCACATACACATATAAACATAAAACTAAAATAAAGGAAATGGAGGCACAGGGCCATTAAACCAATTGTCCAAGTCTCCCAGCTAAAAACCGAGAGACCAGCCCATCAGCATATCTTATGACAGCCAGTTTAAGCCAAAAGCTGATGGAAGATGGTGGCAGCCGGAAGTAGGCTGCTTCATCAAGGGCTCATGCCCTTTGGGAGTAGTGGGCAGAGTCATGTTGCTAGAGACACAACCAGCTAAAAGCAAGGTGGTCATGGGGTGGGGGAAATGGCCCATCTGACTTGGGCACCTGTGGGAATGGAGATGGAGGTAAGCATGTATGTACCTGCAGCTTCCTCCTGAGGTAGCCTATTAGGTGACTTCCTCTCCAGAGTTTTCCTTCCTCACTGTTGGCAGTGAAGTTTGCCATGCTCCCTTAGGGGCCTCATGATCCATGCTTGAGGATGGCCACCTCCCAGCATCCCGGAGTGACCCTTTATGAAGGGATGAGCATCATTTCAGTTTCATTACAGAGGGCATCTGGCCCAAAGCTGTTTCCTGTCTAATGACCATTGCTCATGTCACCTGAGGACATAAGGTGGGGGTTGTTGGGCATCCACTGCTCCAGTGTGTGCTCCTGGAATGGGGAGTCAGCCCTTCACAGGTGCTCGCTGAGCTCCTGATCCTGGCCAGGCTCTAGACAGAGCTGCCAGTAGGACAGCTGCCCAGGGCCATGCAATGCAGGAGCTGGGATGAGAGGTCAGCCAGGAGCTAGAGGGCATAGCCCACTGAGCGAGGGGAAAGCTGGCGACTTGAGAGGACAAGTATGTGTGTAGTGGGACAGTTGGCAAAGCCGGGGACAATGAAAGGGCAGTGTGGTTGGGGACAGTCCTGCCACAGGCACCAGGTGGGGCAAGAGATGACAGCAAGGTTAAGGGGGACAATGTCTGGGGGCACAAACAGACAGGAATGAGGCACGGGAAGGGGAAAGGGGCACATCCTGCAAGGCAGGGTCACTCCCAAGTTTCCAGGCACTCTGAGGGGCCAGGCACTGAGGTCAGAGACACTGGGGTTCCCGGGAATTCGAGGTATTCCTGGGTCTGGGACACTGGATTTGGGGACACTCTGGGGTTCCAGGCACTCCCAGGAAGGTCAGGGGCACTTCCAGGGGTCAGCGCATTCCTGGGGTCCAGGAACTCTGGGGGTCCGGGGCACTCCTCTGGTGCAGACACTGAATTGTGAGCACTCCCGGGTGTGCAACTTCCAGTACTCTTGGGTCCTGGCACTCGGGGATGGGGCGCTCCGGGGTCCAGGACACTCTGGGATCGGGGTATTCTGTGTCGGCGTACTCCTGGGTCCGACTCCCCAGGGTCCCGGCGCTCCGGGGTTGGGACACTCCCGGGTCTGGGCGCTCTGGGGTCGGGGAACTCTGGGACCCGGGTGCTCCGCGGTCGGGGTACTCCGGGATCGGGGCGCTCCGGGGTCCGGGCGCTCTGGACTCCCAGCACACGGAGGTTCCCGGCACTGTGCAGTCCTGGTACTACCGGGTGGGTACGGGCGGCGCCGCAGGGGCCGTCGGGACTACGCGTCCCAGCAGGCTGCGCGCGCGTCACTTCCGGCAGCGGGCGGGAGCCAGCGAGTGTTTACTTCCGGCACCGGCGGGGCTGAGGCCGAGCGAGGCGCGAGCCCCGCGCAGCCATGGACTGGCTCATGGGGTGAGTGGCGGGGCGGGCGCGAGGCAGCGGCGGGCGCGGGGCGGCGGGTGGCTGGCTGGGCGGGGGCTCCGAGGGCC